TAATTAAAATCTTCTTCCTTATTTTGAATTAGTATTTCTACTATCAATTTGTCGACAAAGTTCATCTCCTGATGTATTCTGACATTTAAATATCACTGATTCTACTTTTAATTTCTTTAGATGTCTAATGATGTTTTCTCTAATTTAATGTTGGTTTTCACATTAATCAAAAAAAGTAATAACAACTGTAATAATGTCTTTATATCTTTTGAATATTTTAACAACCCTTTACAATTCAGATAACAAAAAATCCAATCTTTCTAATCTTAATACAACAAGTAGTTAATTTATAGGATTATCAATTAGAGATTTTAGGATTCCGATGGAATTATTTAGTTTTGAAGAGGAAGCCTCAAATCCAGGTGTATCTAACAATTGAAATCCTTTCCCATAAGCGCTTAGACTTATCATTGGTTCTTTAGTATCTTGAGATCCCCCACTATAAGTTTGTAAATGTTTATTACAAATTTTGTTGAGTAAAGTTGTCTTACCACATCCTACAGTTCCAACCATAACTACTCTAGAAATCATATTAATTTTATTATACTATTTTCAGGAAAGAATCCAAATTTAAAACTTAATAATTCTATTAACAATAACGTAAAAGAATTATATACAAATAATATTTTAATTAAAAATAACTATAGCAATAATTTCTTTACAAATTTTATTATTTTGATACTTTGAGATATTAAACTTTTCAAATTCTTAATCGTATTTTTTTAAAGGGCCTTTTTTAAATTCTAATTTTCCATTCTTAGAAAGTTTTATTTATTTCAGAAGTTTAGAGAATTCAATTATTTTATTCTAATTTTTTGTTTCATTTTTCGAAATATGATTTACATTTTAATAATTGAGTTTTGATTATTTTTCTTAATTTAATTATCTAATTATAAGGGTTGGTGAAAGAAATCTAATAATATTCTGAGAAAATAAAATATCGAATATAAGCCAATTAACTATTCATTTTATATTAATTGTAATAGCATTGATAAAAAAAATTTTTAATATTTTCCAAATATTAGAATAACTTTTATTTTTTAGATTCTTTATTTAGATTATTTTATTGTTGTCAATTATAACATTATTTTATAACTAAAATGATTAAATTATTCTGAATTACTAAAAATAAATTCTCATCAATTTCTATTTATAATTCTTGGCCAATCCCAAAATATTTCTCATTATCAATTGAAATTGTGAATATTCAGGCTCTATATTATTTATTTTTGCTGATGGAAGGCTTTTTAAATTTTTTTCTATTTGTCTTTATTTGATTAATATGGATGATTAAATTAGTCTTTTAAGTATTAGAAATAATACAATAACTTTTATTAGATAGGCATATCATTTAAAAAATTAATCCCTCCATCATTTTTTCAGAACAAATTATTATTTTAATTTTTTTAAGTAAGTGAAAATTATTTTAAATATTTGATTTAAGAACAATTAAACTAAATGTAAAATTCATTTAAAATTAAATGCCTTTGGAAGTTTAAATAAAAGAAATTTCTAAATATATTCAAAAATAATTTGTTGAATTAACATAATAAACTCTAAATTATGTTTTAAATTAATAATAATAATAAATGAGAATAAGCTGCCATAATTAATAAGTATCAATAAAGACCTAGCAATTCATCATCAATCATAGGACATTATTAAATCTCAAAACTAGTAAATGGAATAAAATATGGATTTGATTTAAAGTTAATTAAAAGAAAGGTAACAAGATATATATGATTAAATAAACAAAATTAAAGAATTAAAAACATAATTTAAATTAAGATCAAAAACCTAGAGAAATATTAAAATGATGAATTAAAAAAAATACTTGACTTGAGGAAAAGGTTAAATAATTAGAATAAATAATAGAATCAAAGAATAAAGATTTATAATATTAAATATAATAAAGTTAAAATAGATAGAAGTAAATAAAAGATCTTGAATGTGAAATTCAATAAAAATAAAATAATTAAAAAGTATGATTGATTAATACTTAAATACATTAGTAACAAACACTATTATGATAATAGAATTATTCTAATTAACAACTATTTTGGGATTTATCACAACCATCAAATTTAAATTTATTATAATCATCACATAATTCAGTTTCAATAACTAATCCATCTTCAAAAATTGGTACACATTTAAAATTCTTAAGCATATATCCTTAGCATTATAAACACTGTCCAAATTCAAATATTAAACAATTTCTACTAAATTGAAATATACAATTAAAACAGCCATCATACGATAATTAATATCCATCATCACAATATTATTGTCCTTTAATTTTTTTATCTCCATATACTGGGTAGCGATTTTATCGATATTCATCTAAAGTTCATCCTCTTAGCAAATTAAACAATTATTATTAATATCTAAATTAATCTTCATATGTGTAAAATACTTAGAAATCTCTTAAATAAACCATCATTAAGGAGTTTTAGTTTTTATATCTAGCTTTAATAAAGAATCATGATGATTTTTTATTAATATTTCTATTAATTATACAAAAAAATAATATTTAAATTATCTTAAATTTACCAAGTAAATAATTACCTGAAATAATTATTTGATTACCATACACATAATTAATTTCAATTCTTAAAAAACCTTATTAATATATCTTGATAGGGAAGTAGTTAAATGGAATAATAGATTACTTAAAATTTAATAAATTGACAATCTCTACACCCCAAATAAATTTAATAAATAAATACTCTAATCCATTCCTCAGAATCTTAAAGGCAAATATTGTTTAGTGGGTTTTAATGTAATTACCTTTATAAACAAATTGTTGGATAATTTTCAATTCATGAGTCACATCCATATTAACATTTAAAAATGTTTATTGTAGTTTTATACTCCTCCTTTTTTTAATTAAATTTAAATCCATGCATTTCTCCTGTTGTGTTAATAAATTTGAGATATTGTATAAATATAGTCAAATTATGAATTACCCCAAAGAGAATTTGATGAAGGTTTTAATGATTCTAGGTCTATTTATTTATTTTTCATTCAGAAGTAAATTTTACACTTAATTACCGTCTATACTTTTAGAATTTAATAATAGAATTACCTTAAAATCTCAGCATCTATCTGAATATAAGAATGAGATTTTAGATCTAAAAATATCCTGCTAATATAATCAAAAAAATACGTTTAAGGTCTAAAATATTAAATATCTTCACATTTTTTGAAATCACAACCATAAAAATCTGACCAATCTAGATACATTTGTTAATTCTTAAATTACTATCTTTATCGTTATTATTTGCATCAAAATCAAATGTCTGATGAGTTAAACAAATGTTTAAAATTAAGATTATCATATTTAAAAAATAAAAATGAAATATTATTTAATTTTATATCAAATATAAAATGCACATAGATATAGATTAAGTTGAATTAAGAATTTGACATACAATTCAATATATAATAAGAGTCAAATTGAATTTTCATTTCCATAACTAGATCAATTATATTCAGATAAATTTTAATTATTTTCTATAATGATTATTTAATAAATAATTTTCGCTAATTATAA